TGTTGACTCCACATTGCCCATGTCTGCTCCCTGCTAAATTGCAAAAACATAAATCTATGGCAATCTACTCTGAGTGAGCGAAGAGGTTTCCATGTGGTTTAATTGTCCACACTTCTGAAGACCAGGCCCTAGGACTAAAAGCCTCTTTTTGTAGCTGTTTGAAGCCTAATATGATATTAACTAGTGTGCACCGATACCAGTATCGGGCTAGGCTCCGATACAGCACTAAAATGGTGGTATCGGTATGGGCGAGTACCAACAAATAAGGCACCGATACCATTTTGAGAGCCAAAAGTTTATTCAACTATTGTCACCCATTCCAGGTAGGCAATAAAAAGTTCTACTGGATTCACTTTGTATTAGTCTTTTTCCTGCTTCATAAAGGTAGGCAGCAGCTTGACAAAAATATGATTTTCCATCCAAGTAGTATGCATTTCTTCATATATACACATACAAATTAATTTCAAACAGATGGTATCGGTATCGGCCAATACTGCACAGCCAGGTATCAGGTATCGGTATCGGGGCCAAAATGGTATTGGCGCACATGCAACGCTGATATTAACTAAAAGTTACTTTTTCTGTCTTTATTTATCTCCTGAGCCTTACACAGGTGTCAAACTGGTTCCAGAAAGGGCCGTGTGGCTGCAGGTTTTCTTTCCAACCAAACAATAGCACACCAGACTCCATTCATCTCATCCAGTCATCATGTTCAGATTGGACTCCCTTGACTAGATGAATGGAGTCTGGTGTGCTATTGCTTGGTTGGAAAGAAAACCTGCAGCCACACGGCCCTTTCTGGAAGCAGTTTGACACCCCATCTCCAATAGCTTTAGAAGAACCAGGCAAAGCTGAGAGCTGATGGATCTGACTCCCACTGAATTTCATTAAAATAAATTTCAGTGCAAAATTGAAGTACGCTTTGATTTTCAGTAGAAACTGTTTTTTTTTTTTTACATTTTTTAAAAAGTGAAGCCATCAAAATGTAAAGATTTTTCTTCAAACTTTCTCTGTTTTTTTCTGATGGATTTTAACAGGGTTTCATACTGTAGAGCGAGTCATTTGCACATGTTTGTCATTTGGATGTTCACATTAGTAACAACAACATCTGAATTTGGACACGTCTGCTTATAGACACGATAAATGAGCTAAATGTTTAACTCTGGTGTTTTTAATAAAATACAAAATCCACAAAGTGACTCCAATTCATTGTCTTTGGGCCGCTTTTCTTCCATAGCAGTAACCAGCCTTCCCATTTGGCTCTGCATGGGTTAATGATGGCTGATCTCAGTGCTTCAGAATCCTGTCCCCTCTCTTCTCAGGCCCGCAGGAAAAGTTTTAAAGGGCTCCATGAAGTGCATCTTTTCTGAAGGAAATAATTGTTTTAATATGCTCTAAAAGGAACGTTGCCTGGTTTAGGATATCAGTAGGAATAAAAAAAGGTGTCTTGCACCTTTTTAAGATGTTTCTTCTTCCCAAATTTGAAATGTATGGTTAATTACCTTCTCTGTAGGAGGTTAGTTTCTTCAGAGAAAAACTTTCCTGCTTGTTAATAACTGATTCTTTGACTCAGGTGTGTGAAAGCAGAGATGTATCTAAAAGGTGCAGGACAACTGTCCCTCAGGACTGAAATTAATAAAACATACACCTGATTCAGATGGTAGTAGGTTAGCAAAGCCGGTTAATTGGCCATCAATTGAAATGAGGTGCTCAGAACTTTGGAAAAACAGTAGAAATGCAGAGAATTGCGGCTTAAGGACCATGGTTGGAAAATGTTAAATTACAGCAATGATCAGCACAGCAATGATTTACTGTTAATAATCTGTGCTGAACAATGTGTTCTGTAATCACTACAATTAGGCGAATTACAAATGTCAGCATTAATAGGTCTTTTAAGGCCTTTATACAGTACATTAAGACGTGATATAGTTAATAGGCTATGCAAAATTTTATGTATATATTTACTCCATATATAGGTTAGATTTTTAATAGCCTTAACAATTCGCAGACATTTTAATTTGTAAAAAAACACCTACAGAATCATTGTTAATAAACTAACCCTTACTTCTAAAAGCTACAACACTTGTTAAATAAATTATGAAAATCTTCTGATAAAAAAAAAAACAATCCTGTGTTACCCTTAATGTCATCAGCAGCTGATGGATGCTTTATGCACTATTTCATCTGGTAAATAGATGCACATAGAAACTGAATGGCTAGAGAGGAACAATGTGGCAGAGCTGTGGTTAAAGAGTCGAGGATTGAGGTTGTCTTAACTGGGCTTCTTGCTTAACTGATCTCTGTATTCACCCTCATGCTAATCTTCCTAATCTTCCTCTCTGTTATATATATATATATATATATATATATATATATATATATATATATATATATATATATATATATATATATATATATATATATATATATATATATATATATATATATATATATATAAAACAAACTGTTTTCTCACCCCTGGTGGGGTGGTATGTGTCATCCTCAAGCTGGGGTCCTCTACCAGAGACCTGGGAGTTTGAGGGTTCTGCGCAGTATCTTAGCTGTTCCTAGGACTGCGCTCTTCTGGACAGAGACCTCTGATGTTTTACCTGGAATCTGCTGTAGCCACTCTCCCAGTTTGGGGGTCACAGCCCCAGTGCTCCAATTACCACTGGCACCACTGCTGCTCTCACTTTCCACATCTTTTCTAGCTCCTCCTTCAGTCCTTGGTATTTCTCAAGCTTCTCGTGTTCTTTCTTCTTGATGTTGCTGTCGCTTGGGATTGCCACATCTATCACTACTGCCTTCTTCTGCTGTTTGTCGATCAACACGATGTCTGGTTGGTTAGCCATCACCTGTTGGTCAGTCTGGATCTTGAAGTCCCATAGGATCTTAGCTCGGTCATTCTCAACTACCTTAGGAGGTGTCTTCCATTTTGACCTTTGGACTTCCAGCCCATACTCATGGCAGATGTTCCTGTACACTATGACAGCTACCTGGTTGTGGCGTTCCATGTATGCACTTCCTGCCTGCATTTTACACCCTGCTGTTATGTGCTGTATTGTTTCAGAGGCATCTTTGCACAGTCTGCACCGGGGGTCCTGCCTGGTGTGGTAGACCCTGGCCTCTATTGATCTATCGATCTTGTACTGAGATATATATATATATATATATATATATATATATATATATATATATATATATATATATATATATATATATATATATATATATATATATATATATATATATATATATATATATATATATATAAATTAGTCGTAAAAAATAAAACCAAAAGCAAACACTTCCTTATCTACTATGAATTTTGCATTACACACAGATCAATAAAATCTTAATTTCTTCAAAAAAAGCACACAAATGTTCAAAAAAGAACAAAAATATTCTTTCTACTTTCGCGATTTTGCCAATATTTCTTAAATTCCCCCCTTTGTTAAAGCTGCTAAGAGGTCAAAGTAGATTTAAATTTACAGGGCTTTGATATAAAAAAAACAGAGATAACATACATAATTTCCTTGTAATACCATGGCAATCCAGACCTAAACTGAATTTCATGACAAAATAAATATTTCAACTTGTAGTGAGTGACTTTACTAAATAAGTAAATGTAACATTTTTATGTCTCTTACCTAACAAAACAAAATAATACTCTTAATAAAAAAACATATACTGAAAAAAGTAAAGATTATCCTATACAAACATTTGAGTAAAGTAATGAAGTCATTGTCTTTAGTTAAAACTCTGAAAACCTCATAGTAAAGGGGGTAGTTGCAGTCGTTTACCTCTGTTAAGGAGTGATCTTATACTCCATAAGGTTTCCAGGAACTGATTAACTTTGGGGTTGGAAATGAAAGCTAACAAAAAAATAAAAAAATGAATAGATAAGATTTAGTTTAACTGCTTCAAGTTTGAGCAAGAACAAAGTAAACAAACATGACTAATATTTGTAACAGTGTGAGAAAATATTGCTGGAAAAAATGTTAAAGTTCAGCAACAATTCATGCTTTCAGTCCCAGAAACCTGCTACTGTTAAGCATGCGTGCATGAAATTAAACAAATCTAGATGCTGCAACATGAAACCTTAGTGTTAGAGGACTGACGTGGGGCAGCAGATTCAGTCCTCCTGTTAAACCAGCTGTTCCTGATGTTGGGTTTAGGGTCAGAATGGGGTCAAAAAATCAAAGAGTTTGAGGCTCACTGATTTTCTTCAGAAATCCGGTTTAATGGTGAATATAAAACACATCTGTGCTGCAAGGGTCAGAGAAAAGACTTTTAAAAAGTAGCATATAGTTGTTGAGGCTGCATGTGTTGTGTTTATAATTGACTCAGCGTATTCAGCTGTTAATCAGAATCAAACAGTTCTCATGTTGTTTGTGGGTTTAAAAGGCTGAAAAGTTTGGAACCGGCTGTTCTGAAGTGCTTTTAACAGGAAAATCATTTATCGCTGTTTGCTGTAAGTCTGGTAGGAATCAGCGTGTGGAAACACAGATGTTTGTTCCTGTTTATATTGAGAGGAAGGTAATTGAGAAAGCCTGCCTCTCTCCTTAGGAGCTCTCTGCTGCTCAGTGGGAGCCGTGTTACTACTGAAACAAACATTTCACATCTCTTCCTTAATGTTTATCACTTCTCTCTGTTTCCACCTGCATTTTTTCACACTCAGTTTTTATCACCTTATTTTTCCACACGAAGAAGAAGAGAATATCTGGTATTTAGTTGGAACTTGGTGCCAGGTTACCTGCACCTTGGAAGGGTAGCACCAAAGACAAGGAGAGATCCCCTTTTCTTTTGTATCTCAGCTCCCTCCCAGTCTCTGTCAGAAACACCTCCTCTACCCTCCACATCAGAGAACAGCAGGGCGCCGCCTCGTCGACAGCGCGGCGCAGCAAAGCTTGCAAATGAGCTCCTTTTTGCCAGTGTTCCCATTGAACACAAAGCTCATCCATATGCAGAGATTCTTCTCCACACCTTCTTAGGCTTACCTGGAATTGGCCGGCGTAGTCGTCGTCTGTGGTGCCCTCTCTGCCCTCCTTCAGTGCGATGAGGGTGAAGCCTCTGAAATAAGCAGGGCTGCTCGCCAGAAGCACCACTATGAAGAGAGGAAAGAGTGTGAGTGAGAACATAGCAGCTGCACAGACAACCAGAGTATTAACCAGGCTTTATACCCAGGGTCACTGCAGATAATTGTGACAGAAGGTTTACCATGACTGTGAGCATGATGTAGAAGAATGACGGCTGTAAACAGCAGCTTAACATCTGGAGTAACAAAGAAGATTACAGCCGAGTCGCACTTCCTTACCTCTCCTTCATCCTTGTTTATTTACTCTTATTTAGTTCATCAAGTATTATTTAAAGCTGTCCTCCAAGAAATGTGATACTCCCTAAAGAACATGAAACACCTTCAGTTCTTAGTAGAGATTTAAACAAATAATCAACTATATTAATTGTCTACTAATGGTTTATTAGATTAAAATGTCCTTACCTCTCCTTCATCCCTGTTTATTGACTCTTATTTTAATTCATCAAGTATTATTTAGAGCAGGCCTGCAAGAAATGTGATACTCCTTAAAGAATATGAAACACTTTCAGTAGGTATGTAAACAAATAATTGACTTACAATAAATTAGTTTATAAGATTGAAATTTCTTACATTAACTTAATTGATAAAGCCCTTTGAAGAAATTTCTATCAGTGTTGTAATTGGAGCTGAAACAATTAATCAGATCAATCGTGTTCAATCAATTATTGAAATAATTGTCAACTAATTCAGTAATCGATTAACAGCTAAATGGAGTAAACTCTAAAACATGCGTTTAACTGTCAGAGCAACCCACTTATAGCAGTTATTTTTAGGGATGCACGATATAATCGGCCCCCTATCGGTATCGGCCTTAAAACTGAATATCGGACATCGGCAACCCCACCGATATTTAACCCTATATTTGATCAGCTTCTGAGTTTCTAAAGTCTAAAAAAGAATAAAAATACTACTTCTTCCTTTTCCTCAAAAACTTCTTTTTTACAGACTTAAAAACTTCTAAAGCTGAGGGAAAAAATATTGATACATTAAAATATCCCAATATCTTCATATGCTGATATATTGCCATTTAAAAACACCATATCAATCTCTTTTACTAATGAAATATTGCTATATGTCATCGTTATGCTACGAAATCCCCCGAAAATTCACAAAATGTTGCCATATTTTTATATGTTGATATATTGACGCGGCATCGATCTATTTTACTAACAAAATCTCACAAGAATTTGCAAAATATCACGAGTTTGTAACAGAACGATGAAATTTCATGAGATTTTGAAAGTAAAATAGATCGATACCGCGTTTTTAAAAATCAATTTGATATCAGCATATGAAAATATATTTGAGTATATTATTTTTCAAAGTGTCAGAAATGGATAACAAAACTGCTATTTTCAATGACTACTTATTTTTGTCCAGCTTTAACATCAGTATCGATATCGGTTATCGGCTACATGAGTTTTAAAATATCGGCATATCGGATATCGGCCAAAATCCCAATATCGTGCATCCCTAGTTATTTTAATATAATTGTATAAAACATATCTAAACATTTTGCATTTAAAATAAAAAAAAATGTATTTTGTTAATATGCTCTATGCTCAGAACTGGATAGAGCAAAAATATTTGTTTTGCTCTATGCATGTGAAAGTTTTAGTTTCACCTTTTTTTTTTTTCAGTCTTCTTTTAGGAATATTTTGCTAACTGATTAGTAATCGATTCAACAAAAAAATAATTGACAGATTAATCGATTTGCAAAATAATTGTTAGTTGCAATCCAAGTTGTAATACCATTTAAGTCCACTAGAAAGCCCAGCTGTTCATTCTTAAATAAATAACGGCCATTTGTCCATCCTAAACTTTGGAGCTTCTCTGCTCAGAAGGCGACATTGTGATGGTAGAGAAATGGAGGGCGTTACACTAAACGCTTCTAACATGAAAGAAAAAGAGATGCTGTCAGTAAGCTTGGAAGGCTTCTCTATGTATTAACGCTCTTCATGGAGCCAAGTTTTACATTCCTCTGAGAGCAACCAGAACGTCCCGTTTCAATGGGCTGCTAACAGAACAACGTCTCTCCCACAAAATGCTGATTACATTAAAAAGAAAGCTATTTTTTCACTCAGTATTTAACACAGGTGGAACAATATACAGGTGCAAATAATGATGCACAGCTTATTTTTTTTATTCAGTATATTGTATAAATAAAAATGTTCTGCCTTTGTTATGGAGAGATCATTTTAATAGACGATAAAGTTCAGGTTTTGATAAAATGGGCTCTTATGAATTAATGGGAAGTGGCTCAATAAGATCAACTTCAGATAAATTAATGAATCAATAAGTTGCAAACCTACTTCTTAGCATTTTCTTCTACATAGAGATACAAAACTCATTATAGTCATAAGTCATTTAAACAGTTACCATTTTTCAAGCATAAAGTACATCATATATGAAGCAGATTTCCTTTTATTCAAAGTATAAAAGATCCAATACCAATTACAAAAACATTGTTTATGCTATATATAGTTACTCTAGTGTAGCAGACTTTAACTGTTTAATGGACTGCTAGAATGACTTCAAGGATATTTTAGAATTATCATGTTGAAACGAACGTGTATGCCGATACGGTTAATATAAACTCTCAAAATATACCGAAATCAGATATTTTATATGCATCTATTTTATCAAGGCCACATTTCGATATTTAAAATTATTATTTGAATCATTCTACAGTGATATTCTAATCTTAAATTTCCTCTTTGTTATAAGCTGTGAGTGCTAAATTAAAATGAACTGAAATAAAAAGCTATAAAATCTTCACTCTGTCTGAGTGTAATTATTTGAAGAAAAAAAAGGTTAATATAGCTGCAGAAAAAAATTTAACCACAGATCTAATCCTGTTCATTGAATGTGGCTTTATGTTACAGTATAATATTTCTTAAATGTTAATTTTTTTCTTAACTTACAATTAAGTATACATGTTCCTCTTAAATAAAGGAATAAAATTAATGTAAATGCTTATAAAAAAGAAAATACATGTCAATGTATGAAATTTACTGGTCTTAAGTACATTTTATGGAATAAGACTGTACGTTAAAATATTAATACCTAATTATTGGGGCAAAAATGTTAAATGTTATTAATTAGATTTTCTATTTAATAGTTTGACTTAAATAGTTGGAGGCAATGGATTTTCTTAAATCTATATGTGACGTGTTTGTGTTAAGGGTGAAGGATAATGAAACAAATGAGCATCAATAATAAAGAAAATGAAAGTATTTGAGAGCCTTAAATAGAAGCATAAGTTTTGAGTAGGTGTGATAAACTCATTTAATCAAACTGAAATCTGAATGGAGAAGCAACTGAAATATGAAATGAAATTTCTAAAAACTTGCTTTTAATTTGATCAAATTAAAAATGTTGAGGTAACAAATTACCGGAAAATTAGTTTAGTTAATTCGTGTTTATTGTGTAAATGTTTTGCTAATCATAGGAAAATATCCTAAATCTATTGAAGTACAGCCCCTCTAGCCTTGATCCTTTACATAAATCTTTTTACCCCTTCCACTTCTCTACATTTTGTCACAGAGCACAACAATTAGATTAGATTTTATCATGATTTATATTGTTTTAAAGGAAAAACTATCAAAGGGAAATCTAAAAAAAAAGTTGCATGCATTTGTATTCAGCTGCCTTTGCTCTGATGCCACTTCATAAATCCTGCCATCTGAACTCACCTAATTAGTCATTAAAGTCCATCTGTGTGTGTCAGTCTCAGTATAAATACAGCTGTTCTTTGAGGGCCTCTGTGATTTGTTAGACAACGAACAAACTGCACCACTAAGACCAGGGGTACACACCAAAGCTTTTATCATCTCACTGAGCACTTTTACATCCATTACCAAGAATGCAAAGAGGATAACACAGCTAGAAAAAGTCAAGACATGGCCATCGACCCAAACTGACAGCCAGACGAGAAGAGCATTAATCAGGGAATCAGACAAGATGCCTGTTGTCACCCTGGAGGGGTTGCATTTGTTAGAGTGTGTGTTCATAGGACATGTGTCCACAAACACGGTCTTTATAGAAAAGTGGTAAAGATAGATAGATATATTTAAAGCATTTATTCGGTATAAAAGCTGCTTTCACTGAAAACATGGTGGTGGCAGTATCACATTGTGATGATGCATGTCTTCTGCTGAAGCAGCATAGCTGGTCAGAGTTGATGGGAAAAGCTTAAAGGCACACAGACAAATTATAAAAAAATTTTTTTATTATTATTTATTCTCCATTAACTGGCTGCTTACACTGTAATCTTTGATATTTTTATCTTTTAAATTTTGTTTTTGCACGATTTGTCAGTAAATATAAGCTTTCTGAGCATATTTCCCATAACATCATTTGACTGAGTTACATCACTGCACATGCTTACAACTGGTCAACAAGACGAAGAAAGACGGAGACTTTCTGGTCAAGATTCTCAGTCATCCAGGTCATATTCGTTCCAAAAAAGTACACAAAAAAAAACAATCAACTCAACTTGGTTTCCAAGTTTGAAGACATTTCGCTTACCATCTAGGAAGCTTTTTCAGTTCAAAATGTCAGAATTAGCATTGAATTCGAAGCTATATATAGTAGCCCAAAAATTTGTTTTGGCCTAGAAATCATGCAAATTAAACCAGAAGAACAGTTCCAGGGAGTCATTTTGGTTTAATTGTTAGCCTGCGATATATGATACCAGTCTATGCCTCTGGAAGGGGGATCGTTAGGGCCCAAAGAACAAAGAAATGAAACGACTCACCATTCCTAAAAGTGTACCTGTTCTTCTGGTTCAATTTGCATGCTTTCTAAGCAAAAACAAGTTTTTGGGCTACTATATAAAGCTTCAAACTCAATGCTAATTCTGACATTTTGAATTGAAAAGCTTCCTGGATGGGAAGCGAACCGTCTTCAAACTTGGAAACCAAGTCCAATGGATTATTTTTTAACTTGTTTTGGAAAGAGACTGTGACTTCCAGCGTAGTTTAAAAAAAACTAAATAGATACATGAGTACATGTCGTCACTAACAGTGCTCCTGGTGTCTGCCTTTCAGCCCTTTCCTCCAGGCTTTCACTTTTCATTACAGCACAGTCAGAACTTATTTAATTGCTGCTGTAATTGCCACCATCTGGCTTTGTCGTACTTCAGCAGTACTGCAGGTAGATGGCGCCACATCTGTTTATGTAAGCTCACTTTGCCCAGTGTTGGGATTCTATTTAGGCTCAAATAGGACTATCAAAACACTAGTAGCACAGACATTTGAGGTATATAGCTTTATTTTATCATAATCAATTGAATTTTGGTGTTTTTGGTATAGATAGATAATGTGACTAAGTGCTTTTAAGCAAAATATAGCACAGTCGTGGAAAATCTTGGAAAAGACTAATTCACATTTTAGCTAGGCAACCTTACAACATATAGTTTCTATTAAATAGTTTAACCTCAATATATTAGTTTATTAAACACTCGAAAATGCTTTTGACAGATGCTCTCCTTACAACTGAATAAGCTTAAGGATTTTTTTAAGAGAAAGATGGTTAATTATCCGTTTCAAATATGGAATACTGGATGAGGGCTACAGAAAAAAGGAGCAAAAGTTTGACAAAGTTATTGACCAAAGAAAGATAAATACAAACACAACTCAAACGTCAGATTCTGGTTAAATAAGTGAACTTGTCATTGTCTTTGCATTTTTTAATATATATATATATATATATATATATATATATATATATATATATATATATATATATATATATATATATATATACAATTCTAATAAAGTAAACTGAGTTTGGCTTCGTAATGTTTGAAATAATGGAAAGGTTTATGGAAGAAACTTGTAATAAAAAATGATACTGTACGAATTCACTGTAGGGATATTGCGCAGGATACAGTGAAGGATGGCAAATTCAGATGACTCTTTAAGTGCTAAATGTTCATTCCTCTCCTTCATAATTTTTTTTTGCTTTGCATAAACATAATCTCAGTTTAAATCACTTGAAAGGCATATATGAGATTTAAGCTCCAAAATTGGGTTAAAGAAACAAAAGAAAACTGAATATAGACTATTAATTTCTATCTTTTGTGTCTTTCTTTTTGGCTGCACGGTTGAAATAGTAAAGTTTCAGTTGAAAACCTTTTCAGACTTTCTTCTGACCTCATCTGTAATCACTCTGAGAAAGTTGCCCTGTTTCATTATGGCCAAACACATCTGGCCGGATGGGAACTTTGTTTTGTCAACTTAATTGGATCCAGATCTGTCTGTCTCAGAGCCTGTATCTGCCTGCTGTTATATGAGAGCGCCCACTTTCTGACAGGAAGAGAGGAGGAAGTGAATATAGGCCACAGATTATAACACTTAATAGCCTTATCAAACCAGTATACTCCCAGCAGGAGACTGAGGAAGACTTTCTTTGGAAATTGGCTCCCCTGAGGCTGCTGTTTACACTTATGGAATGTTGTGAAAGATAACAAGACTGAAAATTGGTGTGTAAATAAAAATATATGTTGAAGAAGTACTTTTGTTTTCAGTTGGGTAAATATTAACAGAAGAGGAAAAGTGGATATGTACCTCTGTATGTGCTGCCCGGCAGGTAGGTCTCCGGGTCTCCCTCTACCCTAAGCCTGAACTCATGGTGCCCTTCTCTCCGGGTCCCCTGCGTTTGCGCCCGAAGGATCCGCCCGCAGTACCCGTCCGACCTGCCTCCGGCGGGCTCCTCCACGAAAGCCACGGCATTGCACACAAAATTCGAGACAAAATAGCTCTGCAAGAGCAGCAGATGCAGATATATTCCCATTTCTGGACTGCAGCTCTGATAGGATTGCGCTGTCGCTGTTCAGTCAAATACTGAGCGAAGAGCAGAAAAAGACCAAGACTCGATTCCTCCTGAAGGAACTCCCACAAAACTACAGTCGGGGACAAAGATGCGCAGAAGGAGACCGAGAGGAGTCCATCCTGGAGTGGAGACGCGCGACTGGAGCGCAGCTTATAATAAGAGAGGAGCAGCTGGATCCGGCAGGCTGAGGTGCTGAAGCGGTGGAGGAAAGATAGGAGGGCTCTGCGTAAAAAAGAAAAAAAAAAGTGCCGATACGGGTGATTATCTCTCTGACCCGAAACCAGGAAAAGTTCAAACTGAATCCCATAAATTTTCTCCCCCTTCTTTCCTGACAGAAAGAGTTGGCAGATGCCCTGAAACTGCACACATCCACAACCTTAACTAGGGGAATTAGCAGCACATTTATGTTCATTTATGACCCAGAAGCAATGATGACATCACAAGAATTGTTATATTATTGTTAGAGCAGATTTCTCCAAGTCAGTGGAACTTTCTACCCCCTATGTGAGCAAATTGCAAAAAAAAAAAGGGGGAAAAAAAGGTGTTATAAACATCAGTATCATAATTTTCTTTCACCATGTTTTGTGTTAAGATATTTTCTGCATGCCAATAAAGCAAACTAGACTGATAATAATAATTATGACTAATATTGTTTTTTTTCTACTTTTCTTTAGGGGAACACATTTTGAACAATTAGATTTAATTGTACAAGGATGAAAGAACGAATATTTTGCAGTTTTTTAATGAGAATAGGCTAACTTTTAAACCTTCCAAAAAAATTTAAATAATACTAAATTATTTATATTTTTTATAACGTTTATGTTGCTAACCTTACATTGATTTTTTGTGAAGTAAATTGCATTGTTCTTAATGAGCAAAAGCAAATAGTTGGAGCTTCAGATATCTAATTTAATTCATTAAGTTTCCTTATGATTCATATATCCAGATATATTAACAGATGCTTTCATGTGTGAAATTCTACTTCTTATTTCAGACGTACTCACTCAACCAAATTAGTTTAATCCTTACTAATTTCAGTATGGTTAAATTAAATATGCATTCAGTAGACACTTTCCTTTGGCAGTCTTTTTTAAGTTACAATCCTTTCTGCATAATGTGATGCTGATGTATACTTTGTGGATGGTATTGATTTCTGCAGGTATTTAACTTCCCCTTTTTCATCTCAAATCTGATGCTGCTTTATTCCAACCTCTTATTTTGGTTTCTTCACACACACAGAAGAACAGAGAAAGTTTCTTATAAAGTTAATTAAAATAGATCATTTTATCTCCATTTAACAAGCTTAGATTATTATAGCTTAGTATCAAAAAGCTCTACAAAACTCTATAATTAACTCAATAAAGAACTGTATCTCGTCCCACCAGTGATAAGTTTCAGCCTTTGACTGATATACATTTCTTTTTATACAATATATGTCACTATCTAGTCGTGGCACTTCATATGTTTCTTCATAGGTAACTCACAATTAACACTAATTCATTTTCTTATGTTTCTATCACTATGCAATACCCTGCATAATTCTTGTTATATGAAGAGCAAGTAAGAAGAAGCAACACACAACCACATTTCCTCCTCTCTTTATTTTGGAAGATAAAAAGAGCTATTTCAAAATAAAATATTGCAAAATTAATTAATAGCCATTTGAAGCCAACTGTGATTAATGTTTGTCTGTGATTAAGATTTCTTTTTTCTATCCAGTGCATGTAAAGACACCCTGCACTCCTTCATTTTATCTCCTTCCTGTGTTGCTTAACTCTCCTGCATGCCTCCTATTCTTATGTTACAAGTCGCCACATTCTTCCTACATCCCAATGTTATTTGAAGATCATGTCCTTACTAAGGCATTGATTGCTTCCTGATTTTCAGGCAACCATCCCGTTTAAGAGTGATGTGAGGAAAATGTCAAAATGCTCACAGTGCATTTATTTTAAAATTGGAATAAGCCAAGAGACCCTAAGATTTTGTTATACTTGCATTTTTCGCTTCATTTAAATACAGCAGTGAGAAGAGTTCAAATGTATCCAAGCTGGTCTCTCCCTTTAGACAAATCCCATGACTTTCAAAAGTGATTCGGGCCAAGACCCTTCGTCTCACGCTGCTCCCTGGGCACCCCACGGTGGCAGCCCACTGCTCCCCAAGGGCATGGGTTAAATGCAGAGGTAAATTTCTTATATGTTAGATCAATACCTTTCAATTACGATGATCACATGTGAAAGTTGTGATCGCATGTGTACGACATTAAGGTTTGGTTTCCATGTGAGTATCATTAGATAGTGCTCTGCGTACGGTAGTATCCTTTTTACATTTGTTAAAAAGTTAAAGTGAAAACATACGTGAGTCACATGTATATGTGTGGATTTGGAACTTTGTGTTAAAAGCATGTATGAGTCATGTTGTTTTTTACATTTCATTGCCATTTAATGCACAGGATTCAAATTTGAGTCATGTATCACAATTGAAAAACACGGCAATCATATGCAAAAACATGTAGATTACATGTGCTCTTAATGTGCTCAAATCTACATATATAAATATACTTTAACATATAATACATACATGTGACTGAAAAGTGTGCCACATGCAAATGAATTTCACATGTGCAAAACACATAAAATTTACTGAATTTCTCCGTAAGGGCAACTAGCTATGAGTCCTCAGAGTAATGAATACTTTTCCATTTAAATAAACTTGCAGCTTATTGACTTCTGTATGTATCAAGTATTGGACTTTGTCTATAATTACAGTAAAAGCGTCCCCGAAAGGAAAGCTGCTTTTGGATTTGGAACAACTAACTAAACATCAGCCTGAATCCCTCAGGGTGATGGATTCCATCTGGAGTGTCTCTGCTTTGCCCGCTGAATGACCGACGACCGACATCCAGAGTACACTCTGGACCATGAGCTGGACTCAGGAAGAACCCGCTGACCTTTTACTTTAAAAACATAAAAGTGTTTCAATGCCTGCCAGAAACTTTCCCATACCCAACTTAAAACTTTTTAGAATGAAAATAAGAAGGACTTTATTCTACTTTGATTGTCTGGAAGATGAAGTGAAAGAATCAGGAGAAGTTTCTTCACTGTCACTGATGTATTTTAAAAAAAGAAAAGCATTCACCTTAGAACATTATCTTTTTAAATTCTGATATGCTTTATTCCAGTAGAAATGTACTGAGTCTTTATGCAGGAATGTCCTGCAGGCCCTCTTATGACAAAATAAATTTGTCTTTACTCAACCTGCCTGCTCAAATGAGCCTTTCATGAGGGTGATAAAGTTCTGATGCAGACAGCATGGGTCAAAAGGGTGTATTAAATATGTAAATTGCACAATTTTCTGACTGTGGAAGTAATTTTCTCTAATGGACTATAAAGGCTCCTAAAAAACTCTGTATTACACTCAGGTGTGTAATAGAATTTCTAATCACTTTATATAGACGTTTACTCTTTTCTTGAAGCATGTGCTTCACTTTGGTTTCTTTGCCTACAGTAATAAAGATGATGCTTGTTGACGGAAAAATAAGGTCCGGTATTTTTCATTCAAGGCAGCAATTTGTCAAATACCTTCACAGGGAGGACAGAAATACTGTTTCCATTATCTCTGCCTGTTCTAAATCACACAGGTTTTCCTTAACTACTTACTGTAAGAAGACTGCAGGCAGCTTCATAGGTTTTTCCTGTACATATTTAAAAACAAATTACATACAGTGGGAGGAGAACAGTAAAATGTTGAAAGAACCTTGAGAGGAAGGAGTCTGAACTATGATGGAAAAAACAAATATCTTCCATTCTAGTATCTTCTGTACTGTTGAGAATAACCCCTCTCAGCCAAACAATGTGTTGCCTTGCATGTTATCATTCTGGCCTGTCTCCCTGCTATTTGACCCCTATGACCCTTGTCAGCAATCAAGCTTATGTGCTCCACCAGTTTACTGCTACTCAGTCAGCATCATACCACTCACCTGTCCTGTGTTCATATTCAGCCCTCTGGTTGGCAGTCAGTGCCAGATTATTAAAAGCCACTGGTGAGTTTAATCCTGCATTCCAGTTACCTGCCTCTCTGCCTGATTCTAACCTAATTCCCCGAACCTGCCTGGACCCTATCAGACCTGACATAGTGTGGTTTTTTTTATCCCTGACCTGTTTGCTCTGCCCTGACCTCGCTCTCGGATGTTCCCCTGGATTGTCTCTGGATCACTGATCACCTAGCTTTGATTTTCGACCTGCTGTCGATCCTGAAATCTGGTTTTTCCCCTTGATCATTCTGCCTGTCTCTGCTCCCATGGATCAGACCCTGTGCATTTCCCTGGACCAATTAATAATTGTCAAAGAAAGATTCCTTCAAACATACCTGGACGGATTCAGGAATTCACCAGGTAGGTTCGATAGTGACATCACATGCCAACCAGCTTCTTCAGAAACTCTCATAGTTTGCCCTCAAACCCCAAAAAGATTTTCCTGGTCTGTGATCGGTGTCTCTGCTCTCTTGGCTTGAAAAAAAAAAAATCCTGTTTTTGGCTGTAATTCTTGGTCCTGCTTGTTACATTGCAGGTGTGAGCACTCCTATGAAAATATTGTGAAGAGATTTGATAGGAAAGAGATATATTTTTGATACAGTTAAACTCACCCAGAGCCATGGCTCTGTTGAACTGTCAATTCCTCCTGCTCTGAGCAATTTTTATTTTTTTATTTTTATTTATCCATTATTTAACCAGGTACTACCCATTGATATTAAAAATCTCTTTTGCAAGGGAGATAGGCATCAAAATTACATCACATCATTACATACGTACAAAGACACACACATAAAAGCCAAATATGCCCTTACAATAAAATTTCAATTAAAACATTGACATGTGAGGAAGTTCAACTCGAAACATCTCATTCTCAGCTTAAAAGTATTTAAAGGAACCAATTTACTAAGTTTCAAGTTATTTTGCAGCAAGTTCCATGTAAAGGGAGCAGAGTAAGCAAAGGCCTTTTTACCCAGCTCAGTACTGACACGTGGGACAGAAAACAAGCAATAATTATTTTATAGGAATACTTTATAAATAAGATTGATTCTATTAAAAATATGATCACTGGCACAGCTGTTACTATGATTAATTTATTTTTGGAAGGTCAGGCAGCATCTGAGGTAGCCATAGAATCTGAGCCAGGTTAAGACTGATTTGATCCAGTTGAACTTTCAGAGTTAGCA